AATATTATATAAACTTATAAGGGTGTTATTAGATAAATTATTTAATTATTAATAAGAAAATAAATCAAATAATTGATAACGTAATGTGAAAAATGAAAAATCAAATTATTAAATTCTTAAATGATAAGGTAGCAAACTAATAATTCCAACATAAAAATGAAAATAGGATAGGTTTCGAATATATTGTTTTTCTATCAAGCATGATTCATGATAAATTGGAAGAATGTTTTGACTTAAATTCGATAGATACTTAAAAAAAAAAAGAGAAAAAATATAATATTATAATTATTAATGAAATTTTTAAATATAATTGAAAGGATAGATATATTTGGTGTTCCAATTCCACTTTTAACTTAGGCTAATAATTAAAAATTTTAAAGCACTTTGGGTGGAATATTATCCATATTGTTAGGAAGCATAAGCCTAGCTTACTTTTTATACATTGTTGTATAATGGAGTAACAATTTAATTCCCCCAAATGTCAGTTCTAAATAGAAAACAATCAGTTATACAGAATTCTCATTTTCAAAGCCTCTAATCTAAATCACTTTATAAGATTTGACGAATGACATAGATCCTTTTAGAAAAGATAACAACATTATCACTCCACTTTTGTACACTATAATTAATTCAACTATACTTAAAAATCCTATACCCTTATTTAGCACTCCAGAGTATTCTTATCAAATAACTTTATCTAATGGTTCTTTAGTTCTTAATAACTTGGACTCTATTGATAATGAACATTTGCATATGAAATAATATTTAATTGTATTAACTCAGTGTTCAAATAGTTCATTATTAGATGGAGGTTATTGTGCTGATAAAAATATTATTGAAGAATATTTATCAAAATTTCATGGGCTTTTATTTTTAACTATAAGTTTAGGTCAAATAAATTAAATAACAAGAGAATTAGAAGTTTTCAATAAATAATATTATACTAGTTTTGATACAAAAAGTCCAATTTATTCATAAATTATGCTAAAATAATAAGAAACTATTATTGATGATGGGATATTATTTAATAATTATAAACGATACAATACTTTGAATAATTATGAAATGATTAACTAATAAATTGATAATTCCTTTGCTTCAAGGGTTTTTACTTATATGTCAGAGACTCCTTTAAATTTGGATAATTATGGCTGTTATTTATTTAGAATAGATAATATTTCAATAGTGGAGGAAGTCACGATGCCAAAATTAGGTTAAATTCTAGCTCAAATAGGATCTATTGTATAATTACTTTTTTTATTAAAATTTGCAGCATTATATTATAATAGCCAATTACTTGAAGATGAATTGCTTCATGATATTATATCAATGTATTATCCTGATGTAAAAGGATACTCACTGAAAAATTTTTTATAAAAATAACTTTTTTAAGAAGAGAATAACAAAAAATAACCTTCAATTCAAAGTATGAACTCCATTCATAAAGCTTTACTTCAAAGTGCACGGAAAAAATGTAGACTTAATAATATTATATATGAAATATCAAGAATTCAATTTATCATTTAACAATAATTTGGGATTCATATATTAAAAACAAGTCATTTATTAGGAGAAAAATTTGAAAGTTATCATTTTGGTACATCAAATGAAAAAGAAACAAATAGATTCCTAGTCAAACCAATAGATTCGATTGATTTTCAAGAACAAATAACAAATAAAGAACCTCTAGAATTGCTTCTAAGACAATTTTGATCTAAAAATAAAAATAATTTATCAAATTTTTATAAATATCATTTTATAAGCTTTCTAGTTTTAATCAAGAGTTGCTATTTATGATTCAAATTAAATCTTGTTTTTGATATGCAATAGAGATTAGTTTATTCCCCTCTTAATTGATTAATATTTAATAAATTCAATTCTTATATTCATTAATTGTTGATAACAATGAAAATTGCAATCAATTATAAAGTCAGACTTAAACTTAATTTTTTTTTCTGATCCTTTAATTCTAATATTAACTAATAAAGGATTAATTACCAAACTATGAATATTTAGGTAATAATAAAAATTTATCTATATATTTAGGATAAAAGTACATATTAATTATTTATGCAATTATACTAGACCAAATATAAAATGAATCTATTTTTGAAAAATTTAGAGTTGGTATATAGTAGAATTGTGTATAATTTGACAGGCTAGTTGTAATCTGCCATTGAAAAATTAAATAATAGATAAGAGGATCATATATTTGGAAATATATGGATAATTAATTAGATGGCTAATTCAAAACTATAATATTAGCTATAATTTCTTATTTCGACTAAGGATTTTATTTTATTAATAAGATAATTATAAAATTTTTGAATAATAATATAAGTCATTTTAAATTTTTATTTGAACATTAGATTTACAAAGGAATTTCTTGATATTAAAATGGATTTAAGAATATTTTTAAATTGAACTAACAACACATAATTAATAATATATTCAAAAATTATATCTATTTAAATTTATATATTCTAAATTTTTAGAGAAAATCAGAAATATTCTAGAAATTCAAAATCTAGTCAATAAAACAAAATATTATAATATTATTTCTACAAATATATTGAAGAAAATAAATAGATTATGTATTATTTTAATTTAGCTAATTTGAAAATAAATTAAATATAATTATTAGGATTAGATTAGTAAAAGTTTAATTTTTTTTTTCCGCAAATTGAGTGAATAAAAGATTAACTTTATGGTTTGATACTTTCAAAATAGAGTTATAAGATTATCTTTTAAATTTAAATCAATTTTTTTCTAACCTGAAATTGTTAATAGTGACATATAAATAACTTATTTACGATTATAAAAAAAGACTTTGATATTGGAATCAAAATAGATTTAGAAATGATTATTAGATTTTCAGAAACAAATTGTTAGAAATAAAATATTTTGAATCTAAAATTGGAATGAATTTAGAATTTTTCTCCAAAATAATAATAATATATATATAATTTTATTATAGAGTGTTTCAGCAGAATAATATTATAATTTGAAAGGTTAATAGAAATAAAAAGATTCATTCAGTGGGATGGACTTATTGTTAATTATTATATTCATCAACTTTTTTTGATATCTAATAGATAATGTAGCAAGCTGTTGCTAAACCGGTTAAAAATCCATAAAAAATACTAAATAATCCAACATTTGCACCATAAAGAAATCCTAAAATTCCCTTAGTCCAATCATAAGACCATTTAAATTTTTATCTATCTAAGCAAAAATATCCAAATGAAAAAAACACTACAATAAATTATCCGCCAATAGTTAAATATAAAATAACTGTTAATATTCCTGAAGCTTTAACATTTTCTGAATATTTAGTGGCTGCGTCTATCAAAAATATAATAACTCCTGCAGCTCCGATAAAAAAACCTATATACATTTAAGTGTATCCTCCTTATTTATTGTAATTATTAGTATGAGTTTTTCTAAAACATGATATATAAATTAATTCACAACAATTTAAAAAGAGATTGATTATAAAAAATGCCAAAACCCATATTTCTAAGGTAGACTCAAATGTGCAAGCCATATATATTGTAGCAATTATCAATTATATAGTATCCATAATTTTAAATTGTATTTCTCTATCAAATACCTTGGATTCCCCAGTAAAGAAATATTCTTTTTCATAGTATAAGATATAGATATGAAAAACAAGCCATGCAACAACTTATGCACAAAATTCACCAACAGGATAAGTTCTTAGATCTCGCAAGCTAATTACAACAATAAAAAATATGATTCTACAAACCATTCCTATTGAAATATTAACATCTAGCCTTGAAATATCAGCAAGAGAAGATACTAATTAAAGTATTCCATCTATGATATCAAATACATTATTAATCGACATTTGATAAGAAATATTAATTATAAAATGTAACAGAAGTTAAAAAAATTTTAAATTACTTATTCCATAAACATTATTATTCAACTAATTTCAACAGTAAGTTTATAGGGGAATTTCTTTAATATATAAAAGTATATAAATTTAACTCTCAAAATATTATAATTAATATCATTTAGATTTATAACATTCTAATCTTAAATTTTATGTAATTAGTGTAGTACATACATGCTGTTTAATTGTTGCATTTCATAATAAAATGAAATTAAATATTGTGGTTATAATTAGAATAGCATAAAATAAACTTAAGTAAATACTTTAAATATGATAACATAATTTTAACTTTCTTATTTTATTCTCATTATTATTCAGAGCAATTATATACTTTGGAAATATAAATGAATATAAAAATATTTAATAATCTTTGCTAAACAAATAATAAAAAATAATTTCAAAGTTTTAATTAATCGATCATAAAAAACTACTACTAATAAAACTCTTCAAAATCAATCCCTTCATATTCTATTTCGATTTAAGAAAAATCAACTATATCATCATTTTCATCGATTAATTGACTCTGTTATTAAACTTATTATTGATCTTCAATTTACAATACTTTTATATTTTCAAAATATTTACTTGGTTTTTCTTTCATCTTTTAATGTAGCTATTAAATTTCGTCTTCTTTCATTTAAATTTTTTATTCCATTTCTTTTTCAAGTTAACCAATTATTTTGTTCAATTTTTCGATCTTTATCTAACAAGCTTATTAAAATTTCTCATATTCTATTTGTAACGTTTCTAAGTTTTACTCTATATTCTAGTTATCACAAAACTTCTTAAATATTTTAAATCATTTACAAATATTTCATTATCATCTTTAATTTATTTTTGAAAGTCTAAATGATTTAAATCTGGAACGGATTTAATTTTATTTTTAACATTATTAATATTTTTTAAATTTTCTTAAAATTGATGGCTAATTTAATTGGATAAATCTCTCTAACAATAAATTGATTTCTAAGAATCTATTAATTCATGTATTTCTTTTTATACTCTCGATTATTCTTAATTTAATTTAGTGGTCTCTTAAATACATTATGATAATTGGAGAATTCCTTGAAATTGATTTTCATCTAGAAATATAAAATATATATAATACTTTAAATATCCTTTAATATATTAATTGACTCTTAAATATCTAATTAATCTTGGTATTTTAAACTTTCTAATTTGCTTTCAATTTCTTTTTCTTATATAAAATCTTTAGATTTTATATCCTCAATTATTTAATTTAAATTAATATTTTTTTGATCAAACTGAATTAAATTACTAATACTTGATACCAATTCTTCATCCCTTAAAAGCTAAATAGAAATTTCATCAGTTGTATTTGTTTGTTTAGAAAATTCTGTAATTAATTTATCACTAATTTCATTAAGTTATTAATTTTAATTTTTTCTCATTATGGCAATTTATTATTATAATTTCTCATATTTTTCTAGTTTCTTTGACTTAAAATCTTTTAAAATTCGATCTTATTCGTTTTTTACATAATTCAATTCCTCATTTACTTTTTCTATTGTTTTGTATTAACAATTTGGATGATCACTAATACAATCGATACACACAAATCTATCCTCCATTTTTTTATTCTTAGTATCTATGTCAATCATTAGTATTTCCTTATTATGTTTTTGGCAAATTCTATTTAAAGTAGTTGTTTTCTAAAAAATGATAAAAATTTTACTAAAGAGTTTTGCCTTTTTGAAGCCATTAATTCAAATTTAATATTTTCATTCATTAATTCAATTTTTTATTTAGCATCCTTAAATGTGTCGATAGTTTAAAAATATGAAGCATTATTAAATAAAAGCTCAAATTACTAAAAAATTTAATCAATAAATTAGCTATCTTATTAAAATTCCAATTATTTGTCTTAGTTGTCTGTTGAAAGAAATTTAGAGAGTGATTTAACTTCGTCTTAAAAATTATAAAATGGTTAATAGTTTTCTAATAATGATGACTTTTCTTTTTATATAGTAACTATTTGTGCATTTATTTGAGTGTAGATCTTATCCAAAATATTTTCAACATTACGTTTGAAGTCTCCGATTTAATCCAGTATTTTCTTGAAGTAGTCTAATCTCTATTGAATCTCTTTAGACTTATTTTCTTATTTTTTTGTTTTAAAGGATTATATTCTTTCTTTAGTTTATTCAATAGTTGATATATTATTATTATTTATTTTTGCAACTAAACAATGATAGCACAAGTATTAAAATTAACACTTTTCTGAAATGTCAAGATCAATAGCTACTATATCGATTTTATGAATTTCACATATATTTTCTTGAATCTCAGGCTTGTATTGTTCTAATTATTAAGTGATAGCATTCATTTGATATGATTTTATTAATTAGATATTATGCTTTTTTTAATATAAAAAATAAATTCTTATATTCCATTAAAATATTATTAATTCTTATGAATTATATTTGAAATATTAAGTAATAGAATTAAAAATATTATAAATGATTTGATTTAATATTTCTATTTGATTTGAATCTGTAAAATATATGTAATGTATTCTTTCTTTTTTTTAAATATTAATCTATTTAATTTATAATTCAATAAGTAGGTTTAAAATAAAAATAATATATTAGTATCAAAAAATTATTATTATTAATTGGATTAGAATGAACAGTTATTTTTCTGATTAGTTAAAAGTCATTCAAAAATTTATGTAATTATATATTTATTTTATTATCAGTATCAAAATAAAAATAATATCGAATTATTTGTTAGGAATAAAAAGATAAGTTTTTTATGATTCAAGTCTATCTTATTCTTACTTATTTTAGAATATATGTTAATATAATGAAATCATGAGTAGAAATTAATTATCAAAAACAATATAATTATTATCATTAATCTAGCTTATAGATATCGACCCATTATTATTTAATCTTTTTGAAACAAAATTGTATAAACAAATAAATTTATCAAATATACTTAACTGAAACTATCGTTCTTAAATCTACTTAAAACTTATATAAAATTAATTTTAATAGTATTCTTAAAATATTTTGAATGAATATTAAGTCTTAAGAAATTAAGCATTTTGAAAATACAGTGGATATTCTAGAAAAATAGTTAATTTGTAAAATAATATTTATTAAATTTTATTTTAATAGAATACGAGTATTTGAATATAATTTTTTGAATGGATAAAAATCAGATATTAAATATTAAAAATGATTTAGTAACAAAATTTAAAATTAAGATGTTAACAAGATGGCCATTAGGATGAAATAAACACGGTTTGTTACTATTAATTTTGTTAAGAATTCAGATTAACTTGTTTTAAATGTATTAAGAAAGGACTTCATCATTCCCATATAAATAATATTGAAAAAATCAGCAGTATTGCAGAATTTATTGATAAACAAAATTAAGAATATAATCTTAACACATAAGTAGAAAGTGTCAATGATTCATTTTCTTAATTAAAAAGTGGAATTAAAAATAAATATTCTTTAGTAAAAGAAAGATTAGTACATTTGAATTCATAATAAATTAATGATTTCTTGAATTCAATCACTAAATTCGGTGAATACAAATAATCAATAAAAAGTATTATCTCAGAATAGATAAAGAAATTAAGTAATTCATTTAATAATTTATGTTAATAATTATAATTATCTTCAATTAATTATTATTAAATAGATGATAAACATATTAAACTTTCTAAAGAACTCTATGAATAAGGTAATCATATTATTTTATTATCATAGGTTACTAATTATATTTTAATAGCAAATTTGATTAGGCTATAGAAATATTCGATAAATCAATAGAATCAGATCTAAATAATCATTTATCTTTATGGTGTAAAGGTTAAAATAAATAATTATTAATAGGAGCATGTTTAAGATTATGAAATAAGTATGGGGATGCAGTCACTTGGTTGGACAAAGCATTAGCTATTGATCCTAAACATGTAAATTCCTTATGCTATAAAGGTAGATTGATTGATAATTATATTAATAGGTGAATGCTTAAGATTGATGTAGAAATATAATGAATCTATAAAATTATTTAATTAAGCACTCTCAATTGATGAAAATCATATTCCATCTCTTTAATTCAAAGGTATTTATTATTTTAATTTTAAGCTTCATGTTTAGAAGAGTAATAAAAGTACAAAGAAGCTCTGATTTATTATGAAAAATTATTCAAGATTAATCCAAATGATAAATGGTTAAAAGATAGAAGAGGTATTCTAAACTATTATAAATAGATTTCTGTAAAAATAAATGAGTATTCAATTTAATAAATCAATATATCATTATTTTCCATAATTAGTTTAATATTTATAGAATTTTGGTTTATTTTTAAGTCTTATTTATTTTCAATAATTGATAATTTTTATAAATTTTTTTTTTTGAATTACAGTAGAGAATACAAGATTAAAATGATATTTTTATTAATTGCTTCCTCTCCATTAGTGCTAACATATACAAAGATGTGGTATCCTAATTATTAAATTTAATATTGTTAATCAAATGCAAATTTATAATATTAATAAATTCTAAAATATATAAAATAAAAATTTGTCAATTATGTTAAATTTTTTATTTTAATAAATAACTCAATTCTTCTTTTTATTTTAGATTGTAATTATTTCCTTAGAACGAATCTAAAAGATAATTTAACAGTATTCACTTAAATTTTCTAAATATATACAACCAAAACTATCCAATTTCTAATTCAACAAACAATCACTTAAAATATTTCATTTACTGAGTTTAGGATCTTGCCATCCTAATTAAAATGTTCTTCCAATAATGTTTATATCTCTAATTAAAAAGTTAAAGAAATTCTCAAAACATTTTCAAACATTGGTTATAAAATTAAAACCAACTTTCATTAGAATATATGAATTAATTTTATTCATGTATTGTTTAATTTTATTAGATGCCAACCTTGAATTCAATCAATTATTTTATATTATCTTTAATTTCTTATAAAAATTAATAACATCGACAAAATGCTCGATTTTTTCAATTAAAGATTTCCAATTTCATTTTAATATAATTATAATATAAAAATATAATAATGATGAATTCATTATTAGTTTAACAAAATTATCTAAATGTTATACATTAATGATTATTAAATGCTCTAAGTTTTTTTTTTTTCCACCTCAAATTTATCTTTGTGTTGCTTAAATTTATCAGTTAGCTCTTCAAATTTTTATACGTATTGATTAATGTGTTATTATAAAGACATAAATTCAGATTCTAATTCTTAAATACCGCATTTTTTAGCTAAACAATCAGTAGATAAATCAGTTTTTTCTAATTGCCTCTAAGTTTAGCAGAGTTATTCCTACATCAAATTTTGAATTTTCTTCGATTAAATAACAGCTTAATTTACGCTTTCATTAATTTAAGGAATATTTTATTATTCAATTTATAGAAACATAGACTAAGTTTCTTCGAATTGATTATCTAATTGTTTATTAGATGTATCAATTTAGGCTTGTATTTATTTGGATAATGTATTTAAAAATGTTTATTATTCGTCATTATTAGTTTGAGGAGTCGATTATATATTATTATTTTCATTTAATATGATATGATAACTTAAGATAAGATCTCTATAGTCTAATTCTGAAAAATTATTATCTATTTATAAAAATTAAATATCTACTTTCGAAAGCAACCAAAACCTCATCAATTGTCATATTATAGTCCCAATCAACAGGCATTTATTTATTTTATTTAAATATTTAACATTAATATTTTTTTACATTTATCTTATTTTTCTGAAACTCAAGTGTTGACTAAAGGTTATTTTATTAAGATATCCAAATATTTCTATTTGATATACACAACTATAATGTATTTTATTTATTAAAATCGTTATAAAAGAAAATTATATATTATAAAGCAAAAAATTATTCTATTATAGAAAAATTTTAATAGAATTACAAATTCAATTATTTTCCACTTATGATTAATATCCTATTTGTTTCCAATAAGTTCATTTTTATTTAAATACATAAATAGCAAATAACTTAAAACTTTAATAGTATATTTTTATATGTTTTATTAACAACGACATAGTTTATTTCATCATATATAACTATCACTTGAGAAATAACTAAAAAATATATTAGAAAACTATAAGTTAACATATTAAATAAAACTATTTAGTAAAATAAGATAAAAATAATATCCCTTCTAAAATAACAATATTATTAAGCTTTTATAATAATAAAAGGGAAGTTATTATTATTTTAAATCTATAAATCTAAATATTTACTTGTTAAATAATTTATAATCATTTTCATAGAGGCAATTTAATTAATTTTATACAATAATTGGGTTACTTAAAATTTAGAACCATTTATTATTGAAACTTCATTAAATTAAATACCATTATTTTTATTTGACATATGAATGACTCATAAATTTTAATTTTTTTAATTAGACTAGGTTTGAGTTAATTGATTCTGCTCTTTATTATAGAATGAATTCATCTAGTTTTTACTTAATTCATCTGCTTGTTTACTAAGTCTTTTTGATCTAATTTATCAATTAGTAATCTCATTATGTTTTGTTAATTAATAGTCTAATTAATTTTACAATTTGACAACAATAAAAGTTCAAAAGTTCTTCAGGCTGCAGTAGCGATTAATTGGAAAATACTTTTTAATTTACTATTTTCGATGAAACTAATGAGATATTAAGCAGAATCTAATAAAAGAAAATTTAGTTGAATTTAAAAAGTATGATATGAAGTTTAATAATTAAATTGCTTTCTTAGTATTTTGAAAAGAATGGATACATAGTTTTGTAGAAATAAATAATTCAAGTTAAAGGATCATAACAGTAAATTGTAGAGAAGAAGGTGTCTAAGCAAATCATAAACTTCAAAAAGGTTTTGTTAAATAAATAAAAAAAAATAATAGAATAAAAGATGAAACTAAAAATTGACCTAAAAAACTCTAAATTATTTTAATTAAACGTAAATTTTATAAATAAACTTTGACATTCTCATTTTCTTGAACGAATGCATTTATATTTATATCAAGAAATTTATCTAGTACTCTTAAGTTTATGTTAATAATTAAAATATTTAATCTATTCAATTATATCTTCTTCATTATTATTCATTAAACCGTAAACAACTTTTGCAATATTATTCTTAAATTAAGATTGGATTTGATTGTTATCCTTTGGATCCTAGATATAATTAAAAATATTATAAGATTAAAATCTTCATTTACAATTAGATGTTAACTAGGAATAAATTAGAATTGATCATTTGAAAATTGGTTTAACAAATAAATTTACTATACAAATGGAAAAGATTCAACAAATTCAGATACTGTAATAATATTCTTCTTATCATTTTCACTTTGCCTTTCTATAAGGCTCATTTAAGCAATTAATAATTCATATAAGTTCTATTTGAATTTTCTATCACAATTTGAAGAATAATTTCTAGTTCTTCAAATGTATAATTTTATCTTTGTTAATCCATTGTAAAAATAATTTAACTTAAATTATTATTTATCTCAGGCTTCCCAAAAATAATGCTATAAGTTAATAAATTTAATAAATTGGATTTTGCTATCTTTTATTAAGAGTATAAATGTTTTCTTCAATTTTATTATCTAACTAATCATTAAAAGAAATTTCACATCTTTGAACAATTATTTTTTTTAATATTGCTCTAATTTTTTAATTAACTCCCTATCAGTTTGCAAATTTGAGAGTTCCTTCTGAATTAAAGGTATAAATTAAGTAATTAAAAAAAAATTTCATCTTTATTATTTTATGCTAACATAAAATTAATTAAACAATAAAAACACATCATATAGATAATAATTTTAAGTTTAAACTTTATTGGCAATAGTTTGTCTATAAGATTCTCAATAACTGTATAAATCAAGGTACTTGAATAATTTATATATAATAATTATTTTGTTGATGCTAATTACAAATGTTTAATACTTTTGTATATATTCTAATAATCGTGAACCTGTATTAAAATAAGGTTGACTTTTATCTTTTATTCATATATCGTTTTCTAATCTTTTAGTTCAAATCAGTCATAAATTCTCCTTACAATTATTGAACTTATTTTTCGTTAAACGGTTGATTAATTTCCATGTTGAAAAGGCTAATAAGGATCTTAATATCTTAATTTAGGTCTCTTGCTATCTTTAATATTGTTAATTACTTGTCCAAAAGTTATCGAATCATTGCTTACTTTTTTTTGTGCAAAAAATTTTTTTCGTCATAACTCCAATTAATTAATTCCCTGTTTCAACCTAAGAAAATTTTGGCAGGTAATATCTAGAAAGGATGAGAACATTAAAGGCTGCTTCGACAGAGCTAATTGGTTCATTTTTTATGGTATTGCTTTATTTGTTTTGATTTTAGAAATATAATTATCCCATGTTCCAAAATAATTGCCTTAAAAACTTTCTCATTTCTTGAAAATCATTCTGAATTTTTTCCAATTTACATTTATATATGACCTCTAGCTTTATATATACGATGTTACATTTAATTTGAAAAATTCAATTGAAAAATTAGCTTCGATTTTTCTTAGACAAAAGCCTTATGTATGGACACGATATATGCGACTAAAATTGTTTGGAGGCGCTTTTATAACAATTTGAATAAGATTAATATTTCTTAAAAGGCAGGAGTAAGAGAAAAAAAGGATGTAGATCTTTATAGATTGTTTTAGATTTTGATAAGTAAAAATAGAAATTCATAATATTTTAAGCCTAATGAATTAGACTTTTTGTAATGGATCTATGACATTGTAGTTTTAGGAAATTTACCTAAAAATTTTGGTTGTTCCTTTAAGCTTAGTGTTAATAGAATCATATGATAAAATATGATTCTATTTTGTTTCGATCATAAAGATAAGATAAATCATTTTCATTATTTAAAAAATAAAATAAATTCAAACAAGTGATTTACAAAAAAAATCTTAAATAAATGTACTGAGATACCCAAATTTTACAAAATTCTAATAAAAGATTCCTATTCTTGCCATATCATATTTGATGAGGATCATAATCTACATAATATTGGCTTAAAAAATCATGCTTAGAACTTTTACATATATTTTACCAAAAAGATAAAAGAAAAATAAGTGTCATGAGAAGTAATTGGAAAGAATAAATATGAACTATAAAAGTGGGAAAAATATAATAAGATTCCTCTGACAATGAAGTGATGTATCAGAGAGTGCAGGAGGAATAAGTCAATTAATAACAAAATATCATCCAATAAAGAGAGGTAATATTGAAGCACGATAAAATTATTGTAAACAAATCAAATCAAACAATCTATTCTTCAGATAGGAATAACCTTAATAGTAGATATAGATCCTATTCATTTGAATACTCTCTTAGAATTTGATATGCCATAATAGAAGAAAGTCTAGGAAGAAGAATGTGGCTAAATTGATATCTAAAAAGCAATCAAAAAAAGAGTCATTTTAAACTTTGTTTGATCAGTACAATTTTCTTCTAAGTTTATATTATAAAAAATCACTTTTAAGGAAATTGATAATCATATTGGATTAAAAAAATATTAAGAGAATTTAAGTAAATCTAAAGCTATGGAAAAAATTAGGGTAGAATTTACTCTACATACTATCTCATCTTTTTATGTTAAAATGCTTAACAGCACTTTAAGTTTATTATTATAATAAAAAATATACTTATGAAGCTATTTTGAATAGTCTTCATCTTTATCATTTACAGTGAATGAATGCTATTAGAGTTAAATTTGTAGGCAAATCTTGACTGATTTAAGAAATATAAGAAATGAGAAAGCCAAAACTTATCCATAAATATTGCCAAGACATTCTTAAAATGTCTAAAGTACTTGGCTTTCAGATTTAATTTCATAAGCAATAACTTTTGTCCTCTCTATATTGATTATCTGTACTTGATATCTGTAAGAATGAACTTATATACTTACTAAGTTCGATATCTCAAAAGGTAGCTGAAGAGTATGATAAGTGAGAAATTTGGCGCGATGGAGATAGGGATTAAAAGTATCCTAAGTTTTGGACTTTATTTTTATGATAGACTCATTATACTTGGATTCAAGGAGCAGTGGCGTCTTAATGACGATGTCCACTTGGTTCCTATCCTGTTGAATATTCAAAGAAAACTAATTCAATTTGCATATATATAGGTCTATTTAAACATCTTCCTTAGTAATTTATAATGCTCCTAATTGTTATTTTTTAGGTATTAATTCACCACCAACTATTATTGTGAACCATTCAATTAATTTAATAAATATGTATCCTATTTCAGAAAGTTTACGATTTATTTATAAATTTCTCTTTCTTAGATATTTCCTATTATAAGTAGGATAAATCAACATTTTTTTTTTCATTTTTTTAAATTTAAAGTGTATTTTTCTTTACTTTAATTTAAGATAGCTTAATATGTTTTCCTTCAAGTTTTATCGTAATTAAGTAATTTATGTCTCATTACGATTTCCTAATAAATTATATATAACAGTGCATTTTATTTTGGAAATCTATTTCCTTGTTAAAGTAAAACGAAGTACCTGCTCACAGGATAATTCTTTTGTATATATCAATATTTAATACTTGTAAATATCTATTTGTTTACAACAAATTAGATTATGTATTTTAGGTAGAGGGAAAAAAATAAGATTTAATTAATTAAAAATGTTTTTTTTATAGACCATAATATTTATTGATTAAATCAATTAATCTAAAATGTTATTAGATTTCAAAAATATCATTATCTTATTATTATTATTATTATTATTATTTAATATTAATCATTATTCAATTAAACCCCTTCGTACTTTTTTAAGATTTCTTGGATTTTGCATTCAGTTACTTTTTTAATGTTAGAACATGCTCTCTATTTTAGTGCGCAGTCGATAATATTATAGATATTAATTGAATGAACTTAATTCAGGTGTTTTATTCAACATCTCTAATTAGGGTTCTCTTTGCACTTTCTAAGATTTAGCATAAACAATCTTCTGATATTATTAGGAAGATTCATAACAACAAAATTTTCTAAGTTTTTTTTACTTTTTCCAGCTTTCTCTTCAATAATTTCTAGTCCTAGTCTAGATTAGCACTTTATCGCATTTTTCCATTACTATTCCTTGGCAAGATCTAAGCAGTTTCCTTAAATTAGTTGTAGAAATTCATCTTTAGTAAATTTTGGAAGTTCCATAATCCTTTTTAAACTTTGTTTCCATAGTAGTTCTATTTTTTTTTCTGCAACGCTTATTTTAGGTATACATTAAAGGGAATTTATACGATATTTAAGGTCTTACATATATATCCCACAGTAGAAATTAATTTCCCAATGCAAACTTCCTAGATAGTCTTGAGACTTGTAACTCTATATAACTTATTTTTTTCTAAATATTCATTAAATGTCGATTAATACTACCTTTTCCATCTATTTCTACACCAAGGTATTTGTAAGACTTCTGAAAATTAATGCCATGGTTACTCTATGCTTATGCTATATCTACTATTTCTTTTATATTTTTTTTACAAATCATTATTATGGCACATTTCTTTATATTTATATGCAGATTCATTTCTCTTGAAACAGATTACAAGCAATTTAATAGTTATTGGATATTTTATAACTTACAAATAAATGCTAAATCATTGGCATAAAGGTAAAAATGATCTATTTTCCTTGAATCAAAATTTTAATCCAGTTTTTTTATAAAAACGCAAGTATATATGTCAAATAGAAACGGTGATAGTACGCTTCCTTATGGCACCCCATTTTTGAATGCTATTTTTGTTTATCACATTAAATATATTACAAACTCATTAAGTTTCTAAGAAAAATTGTTTCTTCTTTATTCAATACATGCATTATATTTAAAAAGTGATTAATATTGGCATATCTGCACCTTTTTTATCAAACTTTTGCACATTAGTTATGAGTTTAAGTATTTATGCCTGAGTTCCAACACCTCTTAAGAAACAAAACTATTCTTTAATGATGTGCTTTTTACAGAATTTTTGAATTTTATGTAGGAATCTAAGCTCGAGCCATTTCATAATTGGACTTTGCACTATTATAGGTCTAAATTAGTCTTCTTCTGGAATTTTCGGTATGCTTTATTATATGGAATCAAGCGATTTTCACCAAAATTTTAATACTAAATCTGCAGTTTCTTAAGACTATAAATTGGAGAGCATTTCGTATGTTCCATGTTGTTTAATCCATTTATCGGATATTAGATCAAATGAAATCCTTTATTTTACGACATACTTTATTTCATAAATTAAAATTCCTCAGGAGATATTGGATTCTTTTTAGGTAGTTATAATGGGGATTTTTATTATATCTATTAAAAGACGGCAAGCTATTATAAACAATTCTAAATAATTTATTTATTACAGCTGATGAGCCATTCACCATCTATGAAACATGATACCACCATCTCTCTTGGATGGGTTCATAATTAAGATTTTATTTATCGATTTAAAGGCTTTTTCCGATTTGTTACTTCTGATTTATTATTCAATATTTTGTAAAGTAATATTTATTGATTGGTTATAGCTTTGACTGATTCTTTTTAAAGTTTGTGCTGTTCATTAAAAGCATTGAATTTAATTCATTTTCTTTTTTATCTCTGATTTTTATGGTTAGATTTTAGCAACTAAAATGAGGTGATCAGAGTAGTCTCATAAACATTATGATGGACTGACGAATTTTAGTTTACCAGTATACAATCTGTTTTACTCTTAACTTCTTTTTATTCTATAATTCTTTCGAATTTGTACTATTAGATTGGAATAACATTACATCCTTCATGAAGGGCATTAAATTTTTTGGATAAATGGTATCACAACAAATTATAAATAATGCATATCCCTTTGCTTGCATGACCTTTAAAATAAAGTTTTCTAGAGATTTTTTTGATTTTTAATAATACTATTTTGAAGGTGAGTAAATAGTATAAATAATCCTAATCGTTAACCTGTTATGTGAATTCACAAGCATTCTAATAACTCAAGGACCTTGGGTAGTATATTAGATATATTCTTGGAAAAGAATTGCTTATGAATCCCAACCGTTATTCCTCCTCCTCTTTTTGGATTGTGATTTCTGAGAGCTTCATTAAGAGTTTCTGGTTTAATTGAAGAGACGTTCACGAAAGTATAATTAATTCATTATTTGGAGTTTCTGATTTTATATTTTGCGAGCATGTGCTCGCTTTAATAATCATGCTTTTGTTTGATGTGTTAGCATATAAGCACCGTTGACTGCTTCGGCCTTCAAAATTAACTTTTATTTTCATTATTTTTTCTTGTAGTGTGAATTCTTAGGGCTTAATCATTCTTGAATATTTCAAAGCATATCATACTTCCTTACCATTTTCTATCTTTTTTTGATCTTCTTCTATTTCCTCATCATTTCCTTACTATCCATCTCTTTAAGTCTATTTGATCCTTTATTTTTTAACTTAAATCAATTTTTTTATACTTATTCTCAATCATTAATTTTTAATTGAGCATCTTCATAACATTAACAATTTATATTCTGATTCCTTACTAATTTATTTTTTTTTTGAATATTATTAATAAATTGATAATAACAAATTCAAGGTATTATTACTAAATAAACCAATAAGAATTTTTAATACTTCTATCAATTATTTTTTTTGATTCATTGGAGTACATTTGCATAAAATAGATAATATTTATGGGGAAAAGTATTTCCTTTTGAGCATATAATTGAATTTTTAGTGAAACGATTTTACCTTATGGATAAAAAGCACGAAGTAATTCAAAATTCTTAATGGTTTACTATTTATATTAATTCAACTTCTCTTTTACCATAAAACTTCTCACAAAAATTTTGAAGTAACTTATAAAAAAGATATTTTTTAAGAAATTATACTACAGAAAAAATAAGTCTCCAAATTTTAATAGATCTACATTTTTTAACATTTATAGTTTTATCTACAATACATCTATTAGAGATTTCAAAAAGCTTTAGATTACTACATGATACTTTTTATAATAAATTAATCATTCTTACTTTTATTGAAATTAAAAAAGATGTTTTTCAGAAAAGCAAAACAATTATTTCAAGACATTAACATTTAAGGAATAAAATTTATAAAATATCTAAATCTTCTTTTCAATACCATCCAAAATTACAACCAAATTCTACTTTGAACTATAGTTAGTGGAAGTAAGATTTCTTTAACCAAAAATTTTTAAAATATGTGATATTAACTTAAGGGTTACTTATTCCCTCTAAATATAATTTTAATGAAATGGAAAAATAATTTAATGAAATTTTTCAAATTCTATCTAGTTTGCTTTCAACTAAGTCTTATTGTTAGTTATTCTCAATTTTAATTTTTGAATCTTGGGTAGTGAAGTTTCCCAAGGATATAATTTATAGGGCCAGAAGTACAATAAGCCAGAATATGATTACCAGTATCTCTCTGAAAGACTCAGAGGTTGACTAAATAATCTGAAAGACAAAGAACTGTTTCAAAAAATTATGAAAAAGAAAGAAAATTTTCTGGTGAATCTTGACTCAAATTAACATAACAGTTTATAATCGAAATAACAGAAATAAATAGTTTATATAGCTAATTTGCTAACAAAATTCTGCTTTATAACTAATCCTGTAAACACAATAAAACTAGAAATCATTATGGATCTATATTTTTTCTTGCTCTTTGAAGATAATAATATACCTTTCAGGCTGTTTTTGATAGTTTTTGTACTCAAAAATCTTCTTTCTTTCTTTTATTCCATTCTTAATATAAGTTTTAGTTTTTTATTATTGATTAAAATGTTTTGTTTATCAGTTTATTCTATTCTTATGAAGAATTGGAATCTTATTCTTTCTAATAAAGAAGTGTTATATTAAGTTCTTTTAAATTTAAATGCATAATTTATGGAAATGAATTAAGATGGTGATTTTAACACTTGATAATATGACACATCATTTTATGGCTACATAGATAGCTTGAGCAATATATGGATGAAAAATGGAATTCGAGGATATCGATGTGGTTTATATCTATTCGGATAAAATTTGTAAATGGTTTTTCAAAACTAATGAAAAATTTCTGAAGCTAATGTAATCTATTTGATTGGATTGGATTGGATTGAAATGAATAAATAATTTGAAAAAGAAAAAGGATCAAATCTTACAATAGAATATAGGGTGGATTAAATTTAGCTTTTAAAATATTTTTTGATTTTAAAAAAATTTTGGATTAGTTTAGGTTTAGGAAGCAATTTTTAAATCATAAATACAGTGCAAAATTAATAATAGAAGAAGAGTAGTCCATAAAAAGAAGAAGGTTTATTTCTTTTTTCATAACAATATTGTCTATATATTTATATTTAATAGAACTTGTCAATACCATCATTAACAATCTTAGTTGCAATAAAGTATCTATATATGTTTAATCTCAAGGTATTTTCAACTTTTTAGATAAAATATCGAGATTACTTACTTAAGTTTCTTAATCAAATTAAAACAATAATTTAGAATTAAAATCCATTATGATTTTGTATTTGATCTATCAGAATCCTTTGCAGATTAAAATAGAAGTTTTTCTGAAATATCATTTCTTTATGTTTTTGTGATCATTTTATCCTAAATTGAACTAATGAGGAGGAAACTTTGATGCGATTTTTTAAATAATTTTATGAAAGGCAGATAATTATATTTAATAGTGGTTCCCTTTAATGCCCAATTTTATCTGCCTATATTTAAAGACTTTAACGTTTTGCAATCCAGGATTCAATTTTACTTTTGGACTTTTAATGTAGTATGATTCTTATTTTAATAGCCTTAATATTAGGAATTTATCTTTTTCTTCTATTAAATGATGTAAAATATTATTTTTTTCAAAAAAAAGATTCAATATATTCAAGTGCCTGGGTGAATATAGTATTCATAATATTACTATCTAATGCTTTTTGCCGTTACATCTAAACTGCTTATTAAATAAAAGAAGAATCTCAGTGTGCCTTTAGATCAGGAATAAGGAAAAAAAGCAATATTAATTTAATTTTTAATTTAAATAAATAATGGTCTAAATATGATAAAACCCTAAGGATATTGAAATAATGATTATTTATTTGATATTAATATTAATATAGAGCATTTAAACTTAAAACAAAAATACTCGTTTCTGCTGATACAGTAAATAAACTTTAGTAAATTTTATAAACATTAATTTGAAAGCTTATGATATGTGACAAAAATTAGAAAATTCTTGCAATATAAAAGAAGGTGGAGTTAATTAGTATAACATATTAGATCTTATTCAATGATATGGATAATACGATAATGCTTCATAACTTTGATAGTTATCTATAAATGTAATTCTTATCATTAGATCCTTTTTATAAAGCAGCCAAATAACATTGTTTAGCCTCTGATTTTTTCCCTAATTCAAATATTTTCAAGATTTTTTCAGTAATTTTAATGAATCAGCCAAATATCTATATTAGTTTTAAACCTTTTCGTTATAATCTTAGAGTATTAATATGTATAGAAAGAGCTTGATCGTAACATGAGATTGCATCATTATATTTCTATAGTTAATGTAAGGCATAACCTGAAATATAATATAATTTACCCTTTTGACTCCACGCAGCATCATATTTTGGATTAATGGAAATTGCTTTGTCGTAGCATTCAATGGCTTCTTTATATTTATACAAATTATATGATGCCACTCCTAATTTATAATTCATTGTGTTATACCTTGATTTAATAATCTTTCAGCCTCTTTAATGTTATATTCATTTTTATCTTCACTCTTATAATTATATTCTTATATTTTTATAAGATCTAAATTGCCTGATATTATAAAATCACCATTTTTAGTTAATTCTATAACCATAGTTTTAATTGTATTAAGAATATTATTTAATTATATTATTTGTTTTTCTATTATAATTATTCAATGTATACATATTTAATTTTCTTTTTCCTTTGAATAAAACCTTTTGATTATTTTGATTTATGCCTTAAAATTCAAATACTCTTTGTTTTAAAGTTATTGTTTCATCTGATCTAATATTGTAATATCTTGTTCCATTATTTTAAAAATCTATTCAAAATAATACTAAAGTGATTTCGATATTTCTTTGTATTATTTACTTTATTGATTCTAAACTTGTATTAATTCATTAATATATTCGTTCAATTTAGAGAATCGAATACAATCATTCAAATGATCTGAATGAGTCGTAGTTAAACATTCATAACAATATTATGTTGCTTTTTAACAATTCTGATTCAATCAAAATCCTATTATTTCTTCATTTTCATGATTTAGATATTTACACTTATAGAATTTCATTGAATCTTAAAAAATAAAAATTAATTAATCTTTTTAGACATAAATATCAATAATTTATAATACAAATCACAATATATTCTAAATCAACCAATCTAGAAGTTTCTATTATTTTCCAGTTTACTTTCTGGATTATTGTCAAATTAATTAGATCAATTATTTATTTTATATGACTTATATATTTGCATTATTGATTAATCTTTATCTATATA